AACGCCATCACGTTGTGTACCGGAATCTACCTCCCTGGAATAAAATCAGTCCGGTCTCTGTGGAAGCAACGTCTGGTTATTTTCCGGATCCTGTTGGCTTCACGAGCGATTTCCGGTCTATGTGGAAGCAACGTCTGGTTATTTTCCGGATCCTGCTGGCTTAGCGAGCGATTTTGTGACGATCTTGTGCGTCAAGGTCAGACAGAAGCGCGATCGGTGTACAACTCCTGATGTTCTTTAGGGTCCCCCTCCTTTTTATCGACCAGTGTAACTATCCCTGTCGGGGGCTCTATCCCCACTCCTTCCTCCTCCCAGGGCTTGCTGAGGAAACTGTCATTTTAAGTTTTTTTTTTTTTTTTTTTTTTTGGAAGTCAACAAGCACCAGCCATCGCTTACCAGGAGTGGTATGAGGATCCTGGGGAAGTGGAGTGGGCCAGTGCAGGCTCTGTCTATTGGTGGAGAGCAACACGCGTTGAAAACCGGGTCCAGCGTCCCTTACATGGCGCTGTCATGGGGTCAAAAGACTCAAAACATTATACTATATCACCCCAAGTTCTTGTGACAGCCCATCCTTCCCTGATGTCTTCTTGTCTGCCATCATGTCTTTTTAATCACTTCCCACAGATGACCCCATTTCTGTCATTTTGAGACAAGGTCTCGTATTCGTGCGGCTTCTTATTTTCGTCAGAGATGGTGCGTTCCACAGATGACAAAAAAATGTGAAAAAAATTGTTTCTTACCCAAGTTCGGAAACTCCCCGGCGCCTCCTCCTCTCTATACATAGCTCACTGTAAAATTTATGGGATATCCCCGGCGTCTCCCTCGAATCTGCTATTACACCTCCCCCTCCCGCCCCCCCGCCCCCCCATCTGTTTGATCAAAATGGATCCCTGGATCTGGTCTTGATCTTCTGAAAAAGGTACGTGCCCTGTCTTTCTCTCTCCTTCTTCCCATCCTTTCACTCGTGCCCTCACGCGGAGTCCCTTGCTTTTTCCATTTCTCCCACTCTCTTACTTGTGGGTCTGAGGGCAGGCGTTCTGCAAGGACCCCTATCGGGCCTATCCAACATCATGATATCTTTTTTTCCTTGATGGTGATTCTGATCTCGCGTTATGGATGTTTTTTTTTTTTTTTTTTTTTTGGGTTCATGTTTTATGGCATTTTCACTATAACAAACCCCCAATTCGGACAATATGCTGGTGCCTTGGTCAGAAAGGCTTTACAAAATATTTATAGATCTCATCACGTTCCGGATTCCTGGTTAGGTTCATCTCTCTGCTACCTTTCACTGCCCATTCTAGCACTTTTTCCCTTTTCATCCTCCTCCTGGCTGCTAAATGCCGTGAAGCCTTCGCCGCCACTTTTCATATAGAGTCTAATCGCTGGGGGGGAAGTCTGCACGTCTGCGTCGTGCGGCAAACATGCTGCTGGCGCTGCCTCTCTCGTTTCCTCCATGTTTAAGAAAGAATAGTTTTTTATTTTCTTGCCCTGCCTGTTTGCGATTACACCGCATGGTTAAGCTGCGTTTTTGTGCCCAGATACAGACATGTTTCATGTTTTAAAGCAGCACACAAAGGAAAACACATCGCCGATCCACAATTTCCCTTGTTTGGAGTTTTCTTTACTTTCTAACGCACGCCCCTGCAAATGTGCACAGAGCTCTCACAAGAGAAACACGCAACAAAGCCGATACAATACCATGTCATCAAGTGATTGCACGCCCCACAATGACATGCTGTGAGACACCAGAAATGCAAAAAAATGGTACTGTAGGACCAATGTAGGTTGATAAGGAAAAAAAAAAAAAAGATAAGAAATAATGGATGCATTGTTGTGAGACAGCTTTTCATCTCTCTCTCTCTCTCTCTCTCTCTCTCTCTCTCTCTCTCTCTCTCTCTCTCTCTCTCTCACACACACACACACACACACACACACACACACACACACACACACACACACACAGTTTAATGTACGTCTTTCTTCTTGCTTTTTTTTTTTCCAAAAAATTTGGACCATTTCTCGATTTATGCGTGTCATCCTTGAAAGCGCAGGGGCCATGCTAATGTTCTTTCTCTCTGTATCGTTCCAATTTTAACGGATGTCCCGAAGGACTTTCTTCTTGCTTTTTGTCTGTCTATTTTCCTCGTTTTTTTTCGTTTTCCCTCTGTGTGCCTGGGTGAGCACCCTCAAGAAGTGCCAAACAGTCCCTGCTGGGGTGTTTGTAGTGCCTGTAACACTATTCTTGGGGCTGTTTTGTTCATGATGTCTGTGTGGTGCACATGGTCTACGGGTGATCACAGAAGTTCGGCGTAGTGACTCCTTGGCTCTCAGCAGGTGGTGAGAACCAACAGTCCGTGGGGTTTAATCGTGATGTGAGTAGGCGATGAGCCGCTTTGCTCCGTGTTGGATGTGTAGACTGGCTTGTCTGTGCGCTCTGCTGCTGCCTTGCTGGCCGTCCTGCTTGCTTCACATGTCGTTCATTGCAAGCTGGTGTGTTCACTGTGTGGTGTGGCTGCGTTGTTAGCGTTCCTTGTGTTCCGCTGTGCTGCTGCCTTGCTACCCAACCTAACCACACCCTCTTTGAAAACCAACCACCCATACCCACTGTATACCTAGCCTAACGGACCTTTACACATCCCTACCTGCTCCAAAAGAAAAAGACGTGTACCCATACCTGCCCTACCTGAACCTCTCCAGATTGTAACTGCCCATACCTGCCCATGGACATTTTTTTTCAAAACCACCCATGACGACCTGAATCCACACCGTTTATTAACCACCCGTACCCTACCCAGCCCAGGCTTTCATTACCCATACCCACCCATACCCACCCACAATTGTATGCACCCACCCCTAACCGCCCGCATCTGTCTTCTGAGTCCTGATGCTGCTGCCGCTGCCGATCACTCTCGCGACGCCCTCCTGCCGGGTCACACGTGCAACACCGACCATGGAAGCTATGGAGGATGGACAACAACGGGCGGCGCGGAGGACAACAGGTGGGGATGTGAATGATGGGCGGGGATTCCGGGGAGTAGTGGGAACAGGGAAAGGAAAGGGGTAGAGGCCATACAAACGGCCGGGAGGAAACAGGCCTCGCTCCACTACTCATGAAACGTTGAACATAAGAATGAATCTTTCGCTGGAACATGGAAAGCTACACTGTCTTTTTTGTTTATCTTCTCTGCATTTCGTCAGTAGTGGAGCGAGGCCCACTCGTAAGGTCCAACTCGAAGTCGGGAAACTTTTGGCCTTTCAACGGCGACCCGACGGCACGAATAAAAAAAAGCAAAAAATGGCCGTTTGGGACTTTTGACAAGGCAACGGAAAAAACAATTTGGGCTTAGAACTTGTGGTGGTGGTAGAGGGGGGAAGAGGGGGGGGGGGGGGGGGAANGGGGGGGGGGGGGGGGGAATCGGTAGGCACTAGGTATACCACGGTTACCCAATAGGAACCTCTACCTGCCCGTACCCATACCAGCTTTTTCAATTGCTGCCCGTACGTTCCCATACCCGTTTTATACTTCTTTCTGGCCGCCCATACCACGGTTTTTCTTTCCCCCTCTGCCCCTACCTGGCCCTACCCGGCCATGATCTCCATACGGGCAACTGTGCCTGCCCTAACGACGACCGCTATTTTTCTTGCCTGCCGATACCCAAATCCCCCTTTGAAAGGGGTACCCAGCCCTTGGGTACCCCACCCTTAACCTGGCGGTTACAGTTGGGTACGGTCGAGTACAGGCAACGATTACCCGTTGCGCTCTCTGCTTGCTACCCCTTTGAAAGGGGTACCCAGCCCCATCTGGCATGCCTTGCCTTCTGTGTTGTTTGCTTGTGTGCTGCGTAGTTTGGCTGCTGTGTTGGTGTTGCCTTGGGCTTCGCTGCACTGTTGCTGTGTATCATCCATGCAGTTCGTTTTTGGCGCTGTGCAGTTCAGTCGCTCCGGCAGCGTAGCCTGGTGTTTAACTGAGTTGTTGCCCTGCTGCTGTATTCCGCTTGTCGATGGTCTGCCTTCGACAAGGGTCAAACTTGAAGGGCGAATGACCCAAACCATAAATACGGGGATTCCGCAGATTGTTGAGGGTGCAGCATCCTGATGAGCCGGTGCAACTAGGGTGAAACAATCTATCGACAGGTCTTCTTGTTTTCTTTCTTTCTGTCTTCGTCTTTTCGTTGTACTTGTGATTTTTGGGTGTTTTTCGTTTTGCCTTGCTTCTTTGGCCTTGCTGTGGCTTGGCTCACGGCCTTGGGTTGATTGTCTGCCTACCCGCCTCCCAATGGCACGTGCCCTCCAACCTATGTGCGTTGCTGGCGCTGGCCATCCCTTGTTGCTTCTGCGTCTTTTTCTTGGTTGTATTCCTTTGAGGGTCATCCCATGACTCGACTCACTCAGATCCGTGTTGTCCCTCTTACCATGGTGCGGACAACCTATGTGTTTGCACACACATCTCCCCCCCCTGTCTCCTCCCCCCCCC